TTGAATATATACTAGTTCAGGAGCTAATCCTCTTAATGAACGGAGTTTTTTTGAGAATAGGAAAAAACACAAAGCAACGAGACAAAAAGAATTCAAAAAGAAGTATATCTCAAAAAACCGACTACACAGTCCCAAATGGATTTAAGTATCTTGTTCTTAGAGCCTTCTAACAACCTCAGGTTGATCCCCGAATGAATTCCCCTAATAGGTGAAAAGACTCTGAGGTTTGTACATGGAAAACGGGCTAGCTTAAAGGTACAATGCGTAGCTCCAGAACCGATCGGTGGCCCTTAATCAGATCAACCCAGTTCAACTGCCTATTCGTAAAGCCCGCTAGCGACTGCCCAGTCTTTCTGGAACGAGCATCTGAATGAACGGGCACCAGTTTGCAATCTAACGTGTAAAAAGGCTTGCTTCTGAAGGGCTGAAATTGTCCCAGCAGACAGGCATTTCATTTGTGCAGGATTTTCAGCGATAGATCATAAAATTTTGTAGATTCCCAAACATTCTATTAGTTTACAGCGTAGTAAGCCGCAAAAACTGCTTTTTTCCTTGTTTTCTTTCCTTTATTTTCTACACGTCTACATGCGGTATCTAGGCGTTCTAAAAAATTCTGAAAGGTTTCTGCACTCCCTTTCAAATTTTTTCAAGATTCCAGAACTTTTTAAAACACTCAACTTCTAACGATTTTCGTTGTTTTTTCTTTTTCACTTTTGATTTTTCTTCTAATATTCCTGTACTCTCTGATCCATATCATTCCTTCCTCGCCTGTTAATGCCTCAGGTACACTTTCCTGTGGTTCCAGAAATTCTTTTTTAATTTTTCACGTCCCTTGTTTCGGATCTTTTCCTCCCGGACTTTCAAATTTATTGAATACTTGATTTGGAGATTAGCGATATTCTACTCACAATTGTTACAAATTTCGTTGAATTAAAGTGATTAAAGAAGAGTAAAGTAAAGTCAACTCTAGAAACCAAAAACTTTAAACATTAGGATACAACTCCTTTTGGTCATCTAACATTTGTTGCAATGTTTTGTAGTTTATTAAGCTAAAAAAATAAATCACAAAAGAAGCAAGCACACATAAATATACAAACATGTATTTCAAAGAGGATCGTGCTGAGCTGAACATTTAGAAAATCCTCAGCTGACAATTAAAAATCCGGCACCTACTCAAACCGGAATTAAAGGAATCTAAGAAGTATTTAGGCAATTGTTATTGATTTGTTTCTCAAAACCCCCTTTAACCGCTTTTATATTAAAGGCTCTTTTTCCAAGCATTTCACGGTACTTCAGGTGGTTCTAAAAGGAGTATCAATATAATGCTGATCTTTGGCTGCTGTGTGATATGTAAAAGCAGAATCCAACAAACTCATTATTCTGAGGAGCCGTGTTGGTATGTTTCAAATTATTCACCAACAAAAATTACAGATTAGAGCAATACGCAATATAATTGAACAGAGAGACATTTCATGACCCTTCAAGTTGAATCATTAAAAATTAAAAAGGAAAGATAATCTTCGACCCGCAACATGTATCCGCAATGACAATAAGGACGGATGATGTCCCATCGGTGAGTGTCAACAAAACAGACTAGACTATGCGTATCCAACGACTTTTTTTATCTAAACGACTTTTTTCTAACTGCAATACACAAATTAAACAGGTGACAATATTCTTACTAACCGGTTACTCAGCAACGTCAAATCATCTAACGCTCCTTCAACTTAGCAGTGTTCTTCCTTTGATTTAAATGCAAAAGCGACGATTATCAAAAGCAGAGCTCAACGATCAAAACATAGCAACAAAAAATTGGATCATTTCCCCAAAATGTTTTTATAAAATTTGACAAACAGACTACTAAAGTTAAAGATAACAGCTTATTACAGCTTATTACACCAACCTTATGAATCGATTTTTGTAAAATTATAGATTTAAGCAACTTGACCATACTGACTATTAGGTTTCATTGCCACAACATAAAGTCATAATGACATAAGAACTTTTCTAAAACTTTTTTTTACTTTTGTACTGCAACCGCTAACGTCGAAGGTAGACTGAAGAAAACTTAAAAGTTTTTTGCTTACTTATTTATGTTGTCCCTGCTGCAAACGTATTTTGTGCCTCAGCGACGGTACGAATGGTTGTGTATTAAATATAGTGTGAGACGCAATTACCCGCACTCGGTGTTGATCCAACGAAAACTGTGATGAAAATAAAGCGCTTCGTTCAAAAAATTCTAGCTTTGCATTAGCCAACGATAATACTGCAAATGTTACTGTTAATTTCACACAGTTTTGTTTTCTGTAAACCTTGATACAAATGTTCACCTTTGCCATGACAGTCACCTAAAAGTGCCATTTGGTTTTTGTAGATAAGCAAGCTGAAGACCACAGCAACAAAATTTGAATTTTATACGACATCAAAAACTAGATGTCGGCAAAAATCAACCGGTTATCAAAAACTGAGTAATCAGAAAAGCTGATAACCTTCTGGCACAGGGATTGGGAAACCATGACGAAGGGCGTCATTGATTGTGTTTTCAATCATTTCTGATCCTAGTAATCCTAAGTTTGACAACTCCTCATCGTTAACCGAAGAATCATTTACAGTGTTGCGGACATCAAACCTTTCAAACAGTATTTTCCCATGCAGTTTATTATCCTACAAGATATTTATTTCAACACATTACTAAGTGGGTGAAGTAAATGTAGGATAATTAAACAGGTAATAATTAGAAAGTTTAATTGAAAAAGTAGTTAAAATAAACTTTGACAACGCTCAAGAACCTCAACGTGATTAATTTTAGTTCTAGTGGTCAACTAACCTTTATGAGCAACTGGTTATCGCTTACAACATCCAGTTCCAGAACAGCAGCTTGCTTTTTCTGCGTTCCTTCTGTGTACATATATACAAGAATGATACCTTTAATATCAAGAAAAATTCTGCCTGAAATTCGCTCATTAATAAAGACGATGGTTGTTGGCAAAATTACAAATCAGTAAATTCAAGATGAAGAAACTGTTTGACAATTTTCACCACTGTCTTTTGAAGAAAATACTATCACAGGGGGTCTGGTCGCTGTGAATGTCAGCTGAACTTTGCTTTTTGGATAATCTTCTGACAGGCTGGGCAATAAGTCGGCGAGACAGATTGCTTCAAAAGTACACGAAGTTTTCAAAAATGACGCCATTGATGGGGAGGTGATTTCATCAATATTCAAGTTAAGCAGTCCTTGTCTTAAAGCATAAATCTTTATTTTCTTTTGTTTCTCTTCCTCTTTGCTTGTCCCGACATCTTTATACATGGCTTTTTTAAACTTTTATCAGAAACAAGAGATTTACCTAAAGGCATGGTAGAAAAGTGAATTTGGGATGTAGTCAGAAAAAAGAAGGCTGATCATTTCGTTGTTTTTACTGCCAGCGTCGTTCCACCGTAACGGTGATGGCCCAAATGGCGTTTGTTCACTCAAGTTATCCACCTCAAACCTGCCAACACTGGCCAGTTCAGCAGTGTTGTTATAACATTTTGGATCTTCACTCAGCCTGTAGCAATAGCCTCATTTATTAGTCTTTCACAGGGGAATTTATTGAGAATCAGTCAAGGAAAGTACTAATTTTATTTTTTAGTGAGAAGTGTTTCAGCGAACACTAGTTGAAGGGGGTTTGACAATTAGCCGGAAAGTAAAACAACTTTAGATATTTAAGCAACGTGTCTCCCACACGTGAAATTGAGCACAAAAGCACTAAATATAATGAATGAGTAAGAACTAAAAAAAGCTTAGTTGGAATTTACAAATTCAGACTTAAATTAAATTTTAAAGTAAAGTTTGAAAAAAATTTTGAACTTTTATGGGAACTAACTGTAGTGCGCTGTGAACTACTTATCAGAGCTTTACGATACGGTATGACAAATTCTCTTCGACGTTCAGTAAAGGCCGAAAACAAAGCATATATATCACAATTATAAAAAGATACCTGTAGTTGATAACGAAGTTTGACTGGAATGTCTGAAACGCATAATTGTTCAGCAAAAATACAATAAAACAATTTTTTATTTAAAGTATATCATGAAAAAATATGTTGATTAGTTTACAGTATTTTTATTGCTATTGTCATGCTATTATTCTTCAAACTTCCAACAGCTGGGTACTTTCTTCATAAAACAAAATTTTTACAGCTTAGTACCTAATATTTACCAGCCACAAGTCTTGAAGACCAAAGCTACACTTTTTCTTACAAGCGGAAACGAAACTGTAGTTTTAATAAGCAGATAATAAGTAGAAATGAATGACATTCAGTTAGTGAAGGCTTCAAATCAAAAAAGTTTCCTTTGAATTAACAGAAGAAAACCCGCAGCCTCACCGCTTAATAAAATAAGGAATTTCCTGAGAGCTTATTGTTGACAATATTCAAAAGAAAACCAAGAAGAACAAGCATTTTCAATAACAACATTATTTTGCCTTTTAAAAAGACTACTGCCGCAGCTTGTAATGAATTCCCAAAACTTAGTATTTGTGAAAAACAACTGACTAAATAATAAAAGTTTCAAAGTTTTAAAAGTAAGGTTAAAAATTACAGAAATAAAAATATTCATGTTTGAAAGAATAGCGAAACGAAAAAGAATAATACTTTAAATTCTAACTATTTTTTATGGGCAATGACGCTCAAAAGCAGTCTTAAATGATCTCTAGTTCAACTTGTCTCATTTCTCGTCTTTTGACAAAAACAAATAAGCGAAAATACTGGGTAACAAAAAGTCTGCAAAGCAAAAGCTGGAGAAGAAGCATTTGCGAGAGCGCTCGTGCCTCTAAAATTCTACTTGTCTTTGTTCAGGTTCCTTTTTTCATTCCTAAAATGCTACTATAGTAACAACTTTGCAGCTGAACAAATTTATCGACTCCTACGATCACACAAGACTGATTCTGAGAAGCCTATATGCCCAACTAGAGCTTTGGAAAATTGAAGTTTCCAATGATTTCAATATCAAGTAAGCATTTCTTCAAAACCAAACAGCTGTCTTCCTTATATCTTAAAATAAACTTAGTTTGCTATATTTTATACTTTAATAAGTTGTTAGGCAAGATTGAAAAAAATGAGCAATATGAAGCTGTTACAGTTAAGTTACATCACCATAAAAATCCCTTTAAACAGGTGCTAAATCTTTGCAAATTTTTTAGAGCACCATGATGAACTAAATATGTATCAAATATGACTTACACAAAATTTTGAACAGAAAAGACAAATTACTGATGAAAGAAAAATAAAAGCGGTAAAAAACGAAATTAAATATTTAGCTGATAATTATTAATTTAAAAATGCATAAAAGTGATGATTCGAACACTTCGATAAACCGGTATAATTGCAATGTTCTACTGGTTTTTCAATTATTGAAGACTGCTGTAGAAAATACGAGATAAAAGAAAAAAAGAAATAGCTACTCAATAGGGAATAATATAAGAGTAGAAAACGGGAACTACACTTACTCGTTACTCATACATAACCAGCACTACTTTACTAAAGTTGCTAACGGTGTTCTTTAGTTGCTGCTAACCAGTCATTATTCGAAATTTATAATTTACAGTACTTTTAACTCATCAACAGTAATCTTCCAATTCACCTGAATTACATCAAAGTAGAAGAAAGACTTCAAAAAATAAAAAAATTTTACCAATTGTCCCAATTCACAATAATTACTGTTCACTAGAATTATTTTTTTTCAGCTTACTGGCATCCCAGTGAACCTTCTGTGATATCCCTATCAGAAATAGATACAAAATACTTTTTCAAAGCTTGAAATTTTTCCGATAAAATGTTTCTAGAAACTTCAGAATCAAAAAAATTAAGAAAAAGGTACAAGATAAAAAGAAAAAAATTTTTTTTTTGCAGTTAAAAAAAAGAAGCCACTGTTGAGAGGAAAAGTACACGACCTGCTGCTGAGCAGATGCATTTTTTAACTGATTTTCTAAACCCTTTCTCTTATTATGTTTTACAGTTTCCACAAGAAGTTTTTTATAAAAGCCATCAACAAATTTTTCTTGTCATGACTTTTGCAGATCTTATTCGCACTTTTGGCTAGGAAACTAGATTCAACGTAGCACCAAAGACTGTTTAGAAGATAGACGTGCTGTTTTATACAAAAAACATCAGGTTTGAGTCAACAACTATTCAGCATGAAATTTCCTGACGCAAATTAATGAACACAGTAGCTTACTTACTCAATAACGCCAACTGACCTCTTTCAGTAGATTTGTAACATTGAATGGAAGCCTTTGCATAATAGTTTCAGGATGTATATGGCCAAACTGTTGCGTGAATAAACTGTCGCTGACGGCAGTCGCAAGCGGCAATTTTCTATGTAATTTAGCCAGTTTTTCATTCAAATCTTCATCAATAAATCTTGTCACTCGTTTGCAAATCAGTGTTTGAATTAATGGGCGGATATGCTCAGATATTGCCATCTAAAAGTCATCAGTGGATTGACCATTTAAAGCACTATAAGACCCTGAGGTCGATTACAAAAACTAATTTTGAGGGTACGAAAGTTAGTCTAATCTTGATTCTCCGAGTTCTCACACACTCACTCCTTCCCCCCTCCTCCTGCCCCAAAGAAATCATCTGAAATTAAAGCGTTTCACAGCAGATATTTCTCCCCTCCGCTTTCTCTCCAAGTTATAAAACGTTTAATCAAAATCATTAGAAACCGCTGCTTGTTTACTAGTACATGAAACAATATTTCCGTCAAAACTGCGGTATGAAGTAGTTGTACCTTCGTCCAATTGATCAAAACTGTCATGTTAGACAGAAAAAAAATTATTTTTCAAAATTAGTCAGCAAATGAAACCAAAAGAATCACCCTAAAAAACACTTCAGATGGTCATAGAAAATTCTATTCACAGACCGAAGAGCGGAAAGGTTAACAAACTTTAAAAAGATTAAGTGCAATTCCCGCTAGTCCACCGTTGTGATTTTCCACCAAAACCTGCCTAATGTTAGTTCGACAGGATACCGCGCTGATGTGGCCGACTCCAGAGGGTGAACGTTCCAACGCACTTTCCAGTCTAAAATCAATCCCGTCGGCTTGAATTTCAGCCATACCTTCCAAGTCCAGCGGCACTACAATATCAACCTCTCCAGACAGATCACCTAGGATCCTAAAAAAAAAAAGGCATAAGCGTAACAATAACGCAGCAACGTACTTTTCCCTACTTTTCCCTTGAAATTTATTTAAAAATAAAAGAGAAATATTTTCAAGTTATATCTGTAACATTTAACAAAGAAGGAGCTTAGCCCGACCACATATTGAGTCCAGACATAGTCCAAATGACTTTGTTTGGTTCAGAAACAGAAATATTGTGAAGTTTTGCTCGACGGAATCTGGAGACTCGTACTCTTTTAAGTGAAATATAACCCTGATCATTAGATAATCGATGGTAGATATTTGGGATAATTATTCGCGGAAGTTGTTCTGCCAAAATATCAGACGCAATTTCATTAAGATATTGGATTGCAGACGGATAAAATCTTAACCTTAATGCAGTGGGTGAAGTGATGTTAGTTGGCCAACCAGGATGTAATAATGGATGGAATGCAGTGACGGCATTTGTTTGGCAAATGAAGTGCGAGATAATTAGAGGAATGACAAAAAAAATACGAGGACGAAGGCGAAGATGAAGGAAACGAAGAAGTGCAACTGGAAATGCACCCATGACGACACCCTTGAAGATGACAACGTGCTTGTTTGCACAAAGTGAATTTGGCTGTGTTGTCGCGATTCTGACGGCTCTGCCTTCCCTACCCCAAAATTTATTTTACGTAACAGTCGTTAAAAGCGAAAAAATTTCCTTTTCCCTTCTGTTTTTACCTGACAAAAATTTTTTCTTCTTTTTCTGCTCTTCTACTTTTATAGTTACATCATGCTACTATTGACCTCTTCAGTTTTTGGTTTATTATGTTCTCGTCTGTTTCTGCTAGCTCGGCCCAAATATCGATGATGCTGTGGGCGTGGAAGTTACGGTTCGATTCTTAGCTGATAAGAGCATTCCGTCTGAAAGTAGACTAATATTTTAAATCCGATTATTCAAGCGTTCAATTTAGTCACAGAACAAACAAGACTTTTTGCTTTCTCTTGTTTTCGTTTGGTTTATATCTTTTAGCAAGAATGTTGTAATTAATGCAGTGGAGCTCAGTTCAATTAATTGTGAGTTTTTATGACGGAGCTTTAACTTGTCATTACTTGCGAAATTTTTGAGTTTTTATTAACTGAAGTATGTTGAATGGCAAGTAGTAAGAAAACCATTACCGAAATAGCCAGGTATTGTCAATTCTCAGCAATTTTGGAGAAGAATTAGGAGAGCATTTTAGGCTTATGCAAGTGACAATTTCTTGTTTGAAAAGACTTGTCTTGTTAAGAATAAACGAAAGTTTGTTTTTTTTTACAAAGCAACGCAATTTGACTGCAGGTAGAAAACGAGATTTTGTAAATAAAACCACCTTGGAAGCAACATCAATCTTTTATCGGCTTCACTTTTTTTTCCTGCTGCTGCTGATGATGTTCAAAATAAGATCGCAGAACATTCTTATTTCTTTTCTTCAACAGTCATAACAATTATTGTTTTTCTTTTAATATTATCTGCCATTTTCAAATTTTTAAAGACGATATTATGAGAACTGCTGATCCAGTCAATATGGTGCTACAGATTTAGAGACTGTGTCATGTAGTTGTCGTCAATTATAAATATAAATTACATTTTTCGATTCTTTTTTCTGCTACTTTTTGTCCCAAACTTGATTCTCATTGGAAAATTCTAAGCGTTATTTGACTTCAGTTATAAAAAAATTATAATCTTTGATTGGTAAACTTAAAATTGGTTTAAGAAGAGCAAAAGTTTGGTGTGACAACAGATCTTTTGCTTTGTCCTGTTTTTAAAACACTGCGCTTTTTTTGATTTGTTTTTGGTTGCTTTCAGGTAATAGTTTTGCCAAGATAGTTCTCTACGCACCATTAAATATCGGTTTGGCTTGGAAACCGTAACTGATGCAAATGCAGTATTTCACGCACCATGTAGAAAGCCTTCTGTTTTTCAGCCTTTCTTCTTCTTATAGTTGGCCGGCAATCTATATGCGCTATCTTTGGAGAATTGAATGAACTAAATATCAGGTTGCAAATCAGTTTTTGTAGATCTACAATAAATGCAGTATTTTAAAAGCGTCAAACGGTTAACTAAAAACGAAACTTGCAACTTTGTTTTTTCCACTACACCTTCCTTGGTTTACCAATCAAAGATTTATAATTTTTTAGAATTACATTCTTAATGAGCAGTTTGAAAAACGAAGGTGCTGGTTGATTTAGGCTGTTTAGAGGTCTGTATTTTGTTGTAGTACATTCGTGTAATCGGATGTACTTTTGTGACTGTTAGTCTATTTCTACTTTACGTTCTCGATGATTTCGCTGCTATTGGTCATTCTAGTTTTATTCATTTTTGTTTTCTTTTGTTCACCTCTACAGAGTTTATTCAGTCAGTAGCGATGGAAAGGAAGATGTTTAGATATTATTTCTCATTTTTTTCGCGTCACAGTTTTAACAGCCGTGATATCTATACGTTTTGTGTTTACTACCAACGCACTTGATACATACCAATTGAAAGCAAACATCAATATGACTACTATTTTTACTTCTGCTCCGGTCGTGTCGCACTACTCTTTGAGCAGTATATATTATGCTATATTTGTCATGATAGTTTTGACTATAAGTTTGAATTAAAGATTGGACCACTTCAGTGGCCAAACAGCAGCTGTCTGAACTTTGAGCAATAAATGAGGTCAAAAGAAAGTGTATAAAATCTTCAAATATACTTAGTTAGCGTTTCAAGAGAAAGCGAAAAGTTTTGTAAAAAGCACGAATAATTAGCGGACAAACACTCAATTGATCAGCTTTTCTGTCTGAAAAAGAACTGCACAAAGGTTGCTCGACGGTCACAGTTAATTTTCTGTAACGGATTCTTAAAACCATAACAGTTTTTTTGCTACGCCACGTCAGGGTTTTCTGTAGCATTGTTTGGATATTTTGTTGCGCAACCAAAAAGCGTAGCAAAGAGTCAGACCTTTGGCGTGTAACAAAGTTTCTGAACATCTTTAGTGATAGCCACTGTGATCTTTTTATAAACTTCTCCTTTCTCCGTTTGTACATTTTTCTGTAGGTTATTTTATATAAATCTTTATTGCCATATTTTATAAATACTTAATGCTGTACTTTTGAAAAAAAACGGTATTTGACAAAGAGGAAGAGTTTGCTTTTTTTTTTAAATAGTTAATGGATTTGCACTTTTTCCTTGTCTCTTTTTCAAGATGTTGTTTTTTAGTCATAACACAAAACGGTTTTTAGCTGCAAGTGAGTGCCTAATAGGCAACCAGGAAAAGCAGTTTTATAATACGTCAAATGTCTACGGATGAAAACATAAAATTCTGCAAAAAAAAATCTTAAAAAGAAATTTAAAACATGTTTTCTTTTTGCATTTTCTCTGTGAAAAGTTGTTTGAAAACTGGTTGACTAAGAGCTTTGAACAGATTTAACAACGACGGCCTTATTTTTGGATTATCCATATGGTAATGTGGTCTCAACCGTAAAATTTGTTGTACATAAAAAGTTTGCTTTTGTTTTTGGGCAACTCACAGAAAGCATTTTTTCTGCCAGTCACATTTCAGTTTGTCAGATTGAAAAAAGGATATTTTTAAAACACAAGACGAGAATTTATCTGTTTTTTGCATCTGAAGCAGCTGATTAGGAGGAAAGGGTACTTGCAAAAACTAACATATTACAAAAATTTCAAACTCAGTCAAAACTGTAATGTAAAATTTTTACCATTTTTTCCCCAACATGGTAATTTGTTTTCTCTGCAGTACTTGTTGCCGGCAACTCTTGACACATTTTTAGCAGCAGACAATCATTTTTTATGGTAGGAAAAAAAAAATTGTTTTTTAGCGGAATCATAAAAAAATTATGAAAAATATCTTTACTTTCAAATATAACGGTAGGTTTAGAGAAGACTTCATTCAACCCTTTCGCATCACTGAAAGCTCTGTAATGAAGAGTAACCGTCACCTTCAGCGCTAATTTTCTGTCAGCGAAATGCTCTTTTCGTACTCCATTAAAACCTTCCATTGTTAGAGAATACATTCAAATATAAAGTCCTTTTTCTAATTGGAAAAAAATACAACAGAGAATGCAAGAAACTGAAAATGAAACTCTGCGAATAACACAGAAAAGTGAGTCAACGACGAAGATTTGAGTATGCACACAGACACACAGACCTCACTAGAATCAGCTATATAAAGCGTCGATTTATTAACACAGTCAGCATTCATTTCAATTTTCCCCACATATTATTCAAGAATATCCAAAGCACTTTTCATTTTTTGGAGTGTGTTTAGAACTTCCCGATCTTAAACTATTCATTTTTTTTCTGGTATTTTTATATTACAAAAGAATCTAAGATACTGTCGTCAAGCGAAATACCCGTACCACGTGATAAGTTTCAATTTAAAATCATCAATCTTAAAAGCTGACTGAGTGACATAAAAGAGGAAAAAATCTGATAATAAGACTGATAATAATGATAACAGAGAGTAATGATAACGATAATGACAGTATAATGATAATAATAGGAACAATAATAATAATAATAGGGTATTAGTTATTGGTATTACTGTTATTATAATATCATTGATAATTAAATAATAATAATAATAATAATAATAATAATAATAAATAGTAGTTGGCAGTAACCTATCCTTCTTCCTCTTCTTCTTCTAAAAAAAAGTAACGGAAGAAAAGTCAAAATAAAGCTCTTTCAGAAATCAATTTTCCTTCAACAGTTAAAGACTAGTCAGGATCAACTTATTCTTGCTAATCATGAACCAAAAAATGCTGTGAAAGAGCATAAATTTTCCTTGTATAAAAAAAACCTCGAGAACTTAATAATTTTTCCTTATTTCTATTCTAGTCTACCACACAACTTTCTTGATGAGACAAGAAACAAATTTAACAACTCAAAAAATTCTACCAAGTACTTACAAAATAGAAAAATGCTTTTAAAACCTGTAAATTAGAACTTTCATTTTCCTCACTACTCAATTAGTTAAAAAATTATTACAAGTCGTCCATAAATAAAATGTCGACATATCCATAGTTGATTACATAGTCCGTACATTTTTAAAAAAACCAGTAACAATAATAATGAAACCTTTTCTTCAAACTTTGCTTCCTTCGGATCACTTGGACATTCTTCAAGCCACAGTGATTTCCTCAATGGCAATAGTTTGATGGTAGACTTGATGTAATTTGGCTGACCTATTGTTTGATACTTAAGGAAGTTCTGATTCTTAAAAAAAAAAACATTCCCCACAGAAACGTCAGCTTTTTTAAATAAGGTTTTAATTATACAGTAGATAATCCATCATCGTCCTAAGATTGAGCAAATAAATTTGATGCATTTGGTAGAGCGTCTTTAAGATCACCGATACATCGAGACGGTTCAAGTTTAGATAGCACCAACGAAAGTGTTGCACCAAATTGACCTTCACCAATCAGGATTTCAGCAGTGCTTAGATCCACACCACAGGAAGCGGCTAAGTCAAAACCATGACTGTAGGTTAAATCTTCTATTTGCTTCTTCATCTCTGGCCACATCACGTCCAAGATCATACCTAAAATGCCATAAAACTGTTTTCCTTTGTTTCTTAAAAAGGCTTCAAAAAGCTTGACAGATTACAGCTCTTGCATTCTAAATTCTCTTTCTCATATTTGTTTTTTTTTCTTTTTGTTTCAGTCATCTGGCACATTATAAAAAATCTTGTCCATTCTAATATTTCAACAAAGTAAAACTACTATCGATTATCACTGGCATACCTCTGACAAGATCTTGTACGAAACTAGTCCATGAAGGAGGAAATGCTCCTTCTTCCATTACCACATTTGTATCTAGCAACTGCACCATTGTCCGAATCGTACCAGAGTCAATTATAGGTCGCAATTCAGCATTGATGAACAGTGTCATCGAGACAAAAACTGAAGTTGCATTTTTTTCCGGGTTAACCACACGAAGGTTTATTCGATCTCGCCTGCAAAACTCGCCAGTAAACTTCTCTTCCAATATAAATCTTCGCCTGTCTAGTGTAAATCTCAAGTTCTAAAATTTTGCCAAGGCACTGTTTTCAGAAGAAGAAATTGACGTTCTGGCGTTATTGCCTTCAAGACAGGTAAATAATAACTAAAACACAAGTGTTTGAAAAGGCTGTTTAAGACCTACAGTAAAGGTTGAATAGAAGCCGAAAGAAAAACCCCGAAGGATAGAAAAACATATGTTTTATTCACTTTTCTAGCGTTATCGAGCCGTTTGTTGCATGTATCACTGGTGGCCCCTGAGCCCAAACGTTAAGTAAGAAATAACAAGAAGTACAGAGTGTTGAAAGAAAATCACGTGAAGATTGTGGCAGCACTGGACTCATTACACCAATTTGCTCATTCATCCATTGAAAGTCCCAGGTTATCTAAAACTCACAGATTTTCTCATGAATTTGTTCTGATGGGAAACGAGTTCATAAACTGAAAGAAACAAAATTTAAATCAACAGAATAAATTTGTAAAATTTACCACTGATCAGTTCTAATGTCATTATTTTATCATTATCATTTTATGCAAAATGATAATAGAAGCTTCACTGCGGAAGCCAATTTACAAATGGTACCAAAGATATTGAACCTGTTCGACTTTGCTGTTGGTTACGAAAAAATAATTCAAAATCGTTACCTGATCTAACAGTTCATTAACAGCACTGTCATCGATCATAAATGCTACGCGTTCGTCACTATCCCAGTGGATGTTGAGCTGTGAAGAGTTTGATATGAAACCAGTTTCTTCCATGTTCTCCAAATCCCATTCCAACTGAGCAGTAATGTGCGCATGTCGCGGTTGTATATCCACCAACCGAATTCGGTAGTACAGTAAAGCGTTAGAATTGTTCAAGTAACTTTGATATGCAGGAGGAAATATCTCTGATAAAGATAAACTTCTGAAAAAATTTCCTAAAAACCGTAAAATTTCTAGTTTGCCTTAACATGAGTACTTTATTAAATCTCAAAAGATTGAAAACCTGCGCAAAACAGCGGCAGTAAAAGAGTAGACTACAAAAACTATGTGATCCTCTTATACTATTATTTCACAGATAAATCGTAAACAGACACTAGCCAATGTTAAAAATCAAAATGCCAAAACCTATTATTCCTATTAAATTTTTCTTAAATCATGGCTGACTTTCAACTCTTTATTTACTTGAATCTCCGAAATGTTTTAGACATATTTTTCAAACCTGCCTGGATTAGGCGAGTATGTGAAGAAGGAGAGCTTGTTTCACATTACTGAAGCCTATTTTTTACTTTTCTTTATATTACACTTCTATTTTTATTTTGACTTTCAAATATATTTTTAAAATTTTTAACTGAGTTGCAGGGACGCGGTTTCCTAACGGCTACTCTTTGAGTACGGGGAAAGAGGGGAATTGATGCAGTTGTAGCTAATTGAAAAATTGATCGAGTACTTACAGAGTTTTCCAAGAGAGAACGGAATGTGTGAAGTTGCCGTGAGAAGCAAAAGCACGGTAAACCATTGGAAACTAAATTTCTCCTAAAAAGACTGCCTTGTCCTGATGACCATAATATTTGGACAATTGCTGAAGCTAAAGTGGGAATATCGGGCATTACTTTTGGAGATGGAACTATTCATTAGACAATTGGTCAGCACCTCAATGCTACACACGAGAATAAGAAGGTGCAACAATGGGTACTTTACGCGCTTAATAAATCGCAGTGGACGATACGCATTAGGCACCACAAAAGCCTCCTGCAAACCCCAACACCGACCTATTTCAAATTCAATTAATAAATGAGTTAAAAAGTAGGTTCTATATGATGAATGATAAAGAATCTAGACGTTGAATAAATGTCAGCCAAATTTCAATCCAAAATTAGTGCTTATTAAAAACTTTTGCAATGATTTTTTGACCTTCAGATTCCAGTTTCAAGTCGGTGAAACACCTAAGACGCAGGCAAGTTGGCAGCTGTGTACTGGCTATTATAATTCTAATTCTGACAAAAAATTCTAAAACGGAACAAAGTTTCGATCTTTCAGTTTATAAAAAAAATTGGCCATCGTTTATAAACCAGCAACGTTTTAAAATATTTCTTTTTCAAACTGCAGTCGTTGATGCAGATCAAAAAATACGTAACTGCAGTTCGTAAAACAAATAATTTAGAAAAAAAAGAAAGATCTTATCGAAAAAATTGAAAGGAAGAGCAGAAGAAAAAAGGTTTTGAGAACTGTGAATAGAAAAGATCCACTAAACAACAAAGAAGGATATTTCACACAAATGCATAATTTGAAAAAAAAAAAAAACAACAACAAGAATTGGAAAGGAAACTAGATACAAAAAATTGATGTTCTTCAGTTAAAGAAGAATAACGCATTGAAAATCAGTTGCAGTGTTTCGAAAATGACTTTTATGTCTTTCCCAAAGTTAAAACCGTAAATCGACTGAACTAGTATTATGGTGCAAACATCTACTTGTTAGCAAATAAAACTAAAAACCAAAATGATGCAAGTAGTCCCGCACCTGCTGCCAACTGTAATTAAAATCAATTCAGTTGCTACTACTTAATTTCAAAAATGGAAGCACTGACTACAGTTAGATATCAGAAAAATAAAAGATTTACAGAAAAGCACGAAGCAAAGGAGGCAAAAATCTTTTGATTCTTCTTACGCGAACGAATATGATTGTTTGACCTTTATTGGTTAGTTATTTAAAAACTGTGTCCAGACAACTTCATCCGTGAAAGGGTATCATTTTTGAAAGTCCACTAAAAAAGGTAACTACTTTTTTGTGTGCACTTATAGTTTCTTACAGCATTAAAAAATTAATATATCAAGCGTACATTAAAAAAACATAAACGGTGTCCCATAAAACCAGAGATAAATCCTGCTCAACAGACTAATATCAAAATCGTGAAAGAAAAGCAGTTCATTAAAGAATACAAAATAAAGCAAAGGAATTTTACTGTTTTTGGGTTCCATCTCCAAAAAAAAAAGTTCATCAAAATCATTAAAAACAACTTCCCTATCGCATCGTTTAAAAACGATTTAGTCTTAGAAATATTTTTCGATACATTTACAGTTTGCTCGTTAATTGCGATTAATATCTCAATTACGCAGAGAAGTCTCGAAAGAAATAATTTTAGAGCAAAAAAGAACCTTTTTTTAGTCCGTTTAATAGCGGTTATTTTTTGTAATTGTTAAAATACCTCATACACTAGTTGCGACTGTATTTCTAATCGATTTCGTAAATTTCAAATTCGGTTAATCATTTTTAAAAAAGGTTACAAAAAAATTTTCCTGTTTATTATTCGGCTACAAAATCCTCCGGTAACTTTGACTGACCAGTTAATGTTTAATGATGACCGCTTCGAATAAGTAATTTTTCACGAAGACGAAAGGCTTATTTAAATCAAAAACACCAAACTTCTTTGTTGGTCTTCATATTTAACCGTCAGTAAAATCAGGATTGCCTCTGCTGCTTGCTAACAAATAACAGTAATATATTTCTGGCACCCAAAAGACATAACTGCAGAATCCTAGGAACATGTCTCAAAAGCTGATTCGTAGCTTCATTTTGAAAAAAACGCGAATTGACCTGTTGAAGCTATATCCCACCAAAGCTACTGTTCCGGAAAAGATGTGGAAAAGATCAAAACTAGCAAAAAAAACTGAAACAAAATCTCACTATAAGGCAATAAGAAGTTATTAAACGGCTGTTCAAAAGGGTAAAAAGTTAATATACCTTATAGTAGCACTCTCTACGCTAGATGCGTAGTCATTCAACATTGGACAAACTAAATACTCCAAATTGTTTTCCAGAGGTTTAGAAGCAAGGGTGAGTAAAGAGTCGACCAGCCAGTAGTGGCTAGAGTGAGCATGAACTCGTGCAGCCTCAAAGTTACAGAAATGAGTGTTGAAGAAATTGCCCTCAACACGAGTTTCTATTTCCAAATTGTCCATCTAAAACGCTAAAATTGTAGGCAACTAAAGAACCTTGTTAGGTATTAATTCCTTTGATTTCGCTTACTTTTGCAGAAGCCAGAATAAAATTAGCATGAGAAATGCTACAACCGTTTCCAATTTTTTGTCAAAGGAGTAAAA